AAACATTTGAAGGGGTTAAATTATTGATTGGATGCATACTGTCACACTCCTAAAAGCTTCATGCTGTGCTGTATTTATAATTATGTCCTCTGAACACAATGCCAGCCATGCACTGAACTTGGCACCTGCTGCTGTAATTAGCTTTCTTGGCATGGTTTGCAATGTGCCCTGGCCAAAGGCTTATGTCTCTTTCTCCTCTCGCCCACCTCCCTGCCTGACCCCTCCACAACTAGTGGTCAACTTTACACTGCTCCTTTAACAGTTTTTCACCCATCAGTCTTTTTCTACCAACTGTTAATAGGACAGTAATTCCAAATGATGAGACCCAGTTCTAAAAAGAACGAAGAAGGCTTTTTCAGAAACTGTAAGGGGACTCACCAGGACAGGGTTACTGAGGGAATATTATATTAGACTAAACAGAAGCTTCTCAAAGCAAAACTCAAACACTAGCAACATATTGTCTTTGACATGAGTCAGAGCTGGCTGGAATCCATCTTCTGCATCTGTAGTTGTAGGATGGATTAAAGTTTATTAATAACAACAACAACAATGGTATTTTTTCAGTGAGAAAGTTGGCTGCTATAAATCTCCAGCATGGACAACCTCAACACAAGAAACTCTTTTGCTTTTAACTCTTTGGTCACTGGAAAGACCACCCAGATTTTCCAGTGCACTGAGCTAATATAAAATCAATTTTGTAGCCTCACAATGTTAGTTAAAATGCAAACCTAACCATACATCCTGATGAGTTGATGAAGAAATAAGCAGCAGAGCCCTGCTAAGGCAAGACCAAAAGCCATCTTTTATCTATCTAAAGCATTTCTACCCTGTCCACCACAGCTTACATCTCGCGACAGCTTACATCTAGTCTAGCATTTTGTTCTAGCCATGTCCAGCTAGATGCCCACAGGACAGGACATGATTGCAGGAGCACCCTCCCACTCATGTTCTACCATAGTTAATCTACAGAGGCATAGGACCTAGGAGCTAACCTATTGCCCGCATGACCAGTAGCTTTATCATCCATGAAATTATCTCACCCCCTTTAAAAGGTGTCTTTGTTGGAGGCCATCAATACATCTTGTGTTGTAAATTCCATCATTTGATGATGGACCCTGTAAGAAGTCCTTCCTTCGCTCTGTCCCTAATTGCCTACTGTTCAGCTTCACTTCTATCATCATCATCATCATCATCAATTTCTATACTGCCTACAGTTCATACTGCATCACATATATGGGTGACAATGTAGAAGCAATATGATTCAGACAGAGCTGGAAACTATAGTGAGTCTTTCACACAGTCACATACTTGTGGCCTGAGTACTGTAGAAATATTAAGTTCTGGTAGTTAAAACCTGCACAGTAGCTTCTTAGAGAAAAAAAATATCTTACCATTGCATGACAAAGCAGCCATCCAACTGTTCAACCTTGCCAACCTTCAGCTTCCTCAGGCTTTCAAGTGACTGTACAGTGGTGTTAAAGCTGGCCTGAATCTCTTAATTGAACGCTGCGTCTTACTGTTGGTGCCCTGCATGGTAGATGAACTATGCCAATGAATGGCAGGCAGGCATCTCTCCTTGGCAACAGCAGGCAGGCAACTGCCTTACCATGCACATCTGTGGCACTAATCTAGAAGACTGGAGACTGTATTTTGTTCAGAAAACAGTAACTACACTCCACGCTGGGGTGAACAGACAATTCATCATCAGTTTGGCATAGACTTCCTAGCAATCTAAGAAAAATGCATGTTGTTAGATTTTATTTATTATACAGTATCAAGCAGTTATACAGTTCATAATTTCTTGCCTCTAGTATATTTCATCCTGATATTAAAGATGAGTGTATCCTCAGTGGCACCAAGAAAGGAAGATATTTCCAGTAGCCATCCCACAATTCAGAAGCCTTTATCCCTCTGTAATTTGCTCGAGCTGGGCATCTTTTAGAAGAATGCAAAAACTTTATACTTGGGCTAAACTTTGAATAGGGCTATTTTAATTTGCAATATTTTATATCATGAAAATACACATTCTATATATCAGACGGGAGAGGACCCAACCATGTTACATGTCATTCAAAGAACAAGCCATAAAATTCTTCCCCCACCTGCTGCCTTTACCAGTTGAGGAAAAGACCTCACACTATCTAATAGTAGGTTCCACCCTGATTCTTCATATACTTCCTATATATTATTTAGGGATTATTTTTGTTCAGCAATTAACATGGAGTTCCTTAATATACTGTCATTTGAAAACATGGGATGAGATGAGGTGCAGGAATTAAAGTGACTTTCCAAAAATGAATGCAATATTCTTGTGGAAATAGTCTTTGCTTCCAAAAGTGACCATCTCAACTGATTTCTCAGCTGGCATCCTAGCTCCCAGCGCCCAAACAGAAAAATTCTAACATGATTGTCGATTGAGTTGACACAGTGATTTTTGCTCCCGTGGGCTTCTAGCCAGGCAAGTTGTAAAACTGGCAATTACTGCTGCTGGGGGAATATAGAAATATTTCTTCATTTTCTTTTCCTTCAAGAAGGTTTTTATTTTCCTGTCAGAAGGTCTGAAGGTCTTTCTCAATAATTCTGTGAGGATAGGTTATGCTGTTGAATGTGTGGAAATGACACCATCCCCCAAATCACGCTAAATAGAGGTAGGTTGCTTACCTGTAACTGTTGTTCTTCCAGTGGTTGTCTGGGCATTCTCATTCCAGGAGAGCACAGGGAGAGCCTCCTGCCCATTGTCTCAATTTGTGTGGAGACTGCCATAGATCTCCGGACTGAAGCATGGGAGATCACCAACCTGGCCCAGCCCCGAGTGTCCTGGTAAACGAGGGGGAAACTGTCCAAGTTACAACAGGAAGTGGGGCCAGAGGGCAGGTTGTGTGAATGCACAGATGACCATTTGAAAAATGATGGTTACCGGTCAGCAACCTGCCCTTCTTCTTCATACGCTCTGTGCATCACACACATGGACCACTAGCAAGCTTGCCATGTGAAGGATTAAAGGATGCTGTCTTCACTGGAGGATGGAGGAGAGGACTGCCCTGTCAAGGGAGCAGTTTTCCCCTGGGTAGGAAGGCCAGATCTGGACAGATGGCCTTGTCCCTGTGGAAGGTTAGGTATGGTGGGTCAATCTGGGAGGCACAGAGCTTGCTGGCATGTCAGGCTGTTGTGATCACAACCAAGAAGGGAAGCTTCCACGAGAGGAGATGCAGATTGGTTGTAGCCAGTGGCTTGAAGGGTCCTTTGGTGAGGGCAAGCTCCATGCTGGGGTGTAAGATCATGTTGTCCATGGCATTGCGGCAGTAAGTCATCATGGGCATCAGGGTTGTCACTTGAGAGTGCAATCTCCTAAGCACTGAAATTTGGGGTGAGTGGCAGCCCAGCAACTGGTGGAACTGCCTCCAAGGTCCACTCTGGGCACAGTGGTGGTGTCTTCCTTTGACACCTAAGAGTGTAATCAGTTAGAGGGTGTAGGGGACCAGAGGGGCATGATTGTTAGTCAGTTGAAGCTCACACTGTGCCTTTTCTTTTGTTTGGGTGATGTGGCCATCTTTTTGGAGTGCTTGTGGCTTTTCTGGCTCTTCAGTTGCCCAGTGAACAAATCAACTAGGGATTCTAGCTGCTGAAGTGGAAGGACAGTCCTGTCCTTTTCTGGAGGAATCTGCGATCTGGGGGGCCTTCTTCCAGAGATTTTCCTTGAGCCGATTAGCCTGGTGTCTCCGAGTCTACTTTGTGAAGGCTTGGCAGTGAGCATAGGCCTCTATGACTTGTCTCTTGCCCAGAAAAAGAAGGCAGAGGGAATGACTGTTGGGGGAAGGCAGGCTGCTGTCTCATAAAAGCCACTGAGGATGCCATCGTTGGAGATGGAGAAGGTGGAAAGCAAGAGAGAGGCACAGGCAACTTGGGGAGAGAATAAAGCTGGTATGAAAAATATATTTTTGTAAGATTTTTTAAAAAATATATATTTTATACTGATAGAGTGAAAGGGGTTCTCAAAAGAGGAGAGGAATGGGAGAAAGAGTTTTTAAGGGGAATAAGTTGAGAAGAGAACAATGCTGGATACTCAAGTGGTAGGAGAGAAGCAACACCCGATCTAGGTGCAAAGGTAGTCAAAAAGGAATTGAGGGGCTGGGCAGGAGCTTCTCCCCCATTTTACCCTGGAATAGGAAGGGGAGGGGCTCCCACCCATCAAACACATAGGTACAGAAACTTCCCAAAACCAGGTTCTGTGCAAGCAGAAAGTCCGTATGTGTGGTGCACAGAGACCCTGAAGAAGAACTCTTGTGACTGGCAAGTACAATGCATGGAGGTTCCCAGTCCAGCTCAATGGAACCTCTGCCTTTTTCCTTGGAACAAACAGTTGGAACTGCCAATTGTGACAGTGCTCCTCACATCTGGGGGAAGGCAGGGCAGGATGAGCCATGTGGGAAGATGGCACACAGACACACAGCAGCAGCAGCAGTGACATCTTCTGTGCTGTGAGTCAGGGCAATGCGGGTGTTTGGGCATGGAAACTGAATACCCAGCCTGTTCACCTTTATTTTGTATGCAAAACTCAATGTTTACTTTGCTCTGTTGTGCCAAGTTTTGCAAAAAGAGAAAAAGAAAAAGCCGTTGCTGTTGCTGTTTTAAATAGCAAAGCTGTTTGTTGCAGAAGTGCTATAAGGAGGTCCATTTAACTCAGCCCTTGCTTTAAAGGCAGCATTGCTTAAAAATACCTCCTCTAAATGTGTTTTATTTATTTGGAAAAAAAGCCCCCTAAACAATAAAAGAGAAGTTGATGTACACCTAGCACCTGCAGGAACAAGAGAGAGATTTCCCCAAAACACAAAACAAACCAACAAACACAATGGTTCAGCAAAGCATGAAGGGGCTATAATATGATCATAATAATATTACCAGTGTGAACTGAGGTCAGACAAGGGCCTCATGCCATCACTGTAGTGAAAACTGCCTCTGCTTTCCTAAACCTGGTGCACTCTATTTGTGTTGGACTGCAGGTTAATTTGAAGTTGTCATCTGCCAAATCTGGAGTGTAGCAGGCTGGAGAAAGGTGACTGAAAGAAAAGTACAACGTAAGGAGATTCTGTCCAAATACTGGGAAAGCACTCCTGAATTTGAGAGACACTGGTGAAGGGGATCTTGTAGATCTTCTATATGTCACAGATTTCAAAAATGTGTACTTTTACGTAACAGGAATGTTTCTCTTCTGATTCTGCGTTCAGTCTGCCCTTTTGTAAGTAATGTGAAATCACATGGTAGTTGCATAAACTAAGGAAATTCAAAGCGAACATAAATTGAGTCCACTTCTCTAAACTTGCATAACATTGTCTGTTGTCTCAGGAAATGTGATCTGTACACACAGGCCAACTTCTGTTTGAAAATCTCTGTTTACTGGATAAAGTACTATAAGGTATTGAGTGGCCTAAACAAAGGGAGAGACTGAATCCCAGTTTTAACTCCATCCAAACAGGTGACTCCATCACTGATATTAATTAACACACATGTATATTTCACATAGCAGTGCACAAAAAGGCACTGCAACTTCAGGTTGCTTACCCTTTATTCTTCAAGTCGCTGTCTGTGCATTCACACATACAGGCTCTCTACCTGCATTGAGCCAGTTACAAGGAAGATTTATTAGCTAAGACCATTCTGGCAGGGAACCCCTCCCACAACCCAGCATGCATTATGAAAGTGAAAAGTTCTCATGCTTTCCCTCAGTTCAAACAAGACTGCCCAGGTGGTCCTGGGACCAAAGGAGGATTTATAGGACCGATTGCAAACTTGCCAGTCCAAAATGAAAGTAGTTAAATGTTTATTAAGCAGGGCTGGTGGGTGGGTTGTGTGTATGACCACTTGAAGAATGACAGTTCCAGGTAAGTGACCTGCCTCTCGTTTGTAGTCTCTGTGCATCATACTTACGGGTGACTAGCAAGTCAATCAAGTGATTCTGCTACTGGAATATGAAAATAAGCATCTCTCAAGTCCACTGATGCCAACTAGTCCCCTCACTGAAGGAGAGATAAGATGCCTCATTGGGTGACCTCCTTGGAAATGTTGCATTGAGATAAAAGAGTTGCGGTACCTTAGGTCCAGGATCAGTCAGAGCCCTTCATTTAGCTTTGGTACTGTGAAGTATCTGGGGGAAGAGTCCAGGCGAGCGTAGGAGGCATTAACTTGCTTCTATGGCCTCCTTCAATAGGAATCTATTCCAACCATTAAGAGTGGTGATAGAGCTGTGTTCCATAGGATACCAGTGAGTAAGAAGGCTTCTAGCTTGACCTGTAGCTCTCTGTACTATTGGCTGCACCCAAGCATTGGAGATGATTACTTCGCATGTGGAGAGGAAGAGGGAGCAAGAGCAAGACAGTTCTCAAGAACAACAAAAACAGGAAAGAGGTAAGGGCCAGCCCAGGAGTCTACTCGGTGCTTCCAGGGATCGGGGCCAGAGCACCTTTGTCCTTGCTGATAGAGAGAAACACCATCCTTACACCTCTGTAATGGTGCACTGACAGGGTGAGAGGTTTGGTGTGCTTGGGACTGAGGCACAGTGGTGAGGAGCTGAGTGCAAAGCACTTTTAGAGTCTAAAGATGGTGGTTGGTAGAGCCCTATCTACCTCACCATGGTCCATGGGTTATGACATATGTATATTGCCTATGCAATCATCAGTCCTTGAGTTGAAGAGCCCGACTCTATCAAATGGCAGGTCTTCAATCCATAATGCCACTGTGCCAATCATAGCATTTGTGCTGTAATTCACCTGTGCCTGGTGGTATTTATTTGCATTCAGGAAAGTGCACCACCTGGAAAACTTAGCTGAGAGAATTCTTGCTGGGAGGTGGTCACAGAGAATTCCCAGTTTCTCTAAAAGGAAAAGTTGGTACCTTGTCATGGTGGCCTGAGAGTTGGCCATCTTGAATCCTAACACCAAGGAAGCATAGATGCACCTCCTCACAGTGCCCAGGTGGCATCTCCCTTGTCATAGAACAGGGGCCGACATCCTTTAACACTCGAAGAGCCATTTGGATCTGTTTCCCACAGAAAACACCATGAGCCGCAAAACTCTTTTGACCTCTAAAATGAAAATAATACTGCATATATCATTTTTTACCTTTATGCTATGTATAAAAAAACTATAGTGTATTGCATTTATGAAACAGATCAGCGGCTGTGCCGTGCTGGCGCGGGTCGCAGATCGGCGGCTGTGCTGTGCCGGTGCGGGTCACAGATCGGCGGCTGTGCCGGCTGTCACAGATCGGCAGCTGTGATGCGTATTTTGAGCAATGGAGCCACAGCAGAGGGATTCAAGAGCTACGTGTGGCTCTGGAGCTGCGGATTGCCGACCCCGTCATAGAACATGGAATGCCCTTGATGTGACCTTCCTTGTGTTGATTCCACCACAATGGAATTCAGCTTAAGGTGCTGAAAAAGAAAGGCCATGTTCTTCTTCTGCACCCTATACGCTGTCCTGAGACCTTTGGTATCAGATGGGATATGTTTTAGATGAATGAATGAATGAAATACTGCTCTCCAGTCTTCTGAATCTTGGTGCCATTGCATGTAGGGCCTTCCAAAACTGTCTGAACTGCCTATAGTAGAGTTGGAAGGGGATGGCAACAGGTCTCAATCAACTGCTCTGTTTGGACAGCACTGACAGCTGTATGATGGACCTTGGTGGTGGTAGCTTCAGGGATCATAAAACCCTTAGCAGGGGAAGATGGGAGAGTGGGAATAGTCTCTTTGTTTTCCAGCAGGTTCCATGAAAGGAAGTATTGACAATGGAGTTGAGTGGAGTCTCAAGAGGGGCCAAGCAGGTGGCATATCTCAAATCTCTTCTCTGGCACCGAGGCAGAGATGGATTTGAGCCTCAATGCTGATTGCAGAATGTTCCAGATGGATGGTTCTGACAGTTAGGACTGATCAAACATCTGCTTGGTGCCACTTATGCTTGGTGGCTGAAGGCAATGCTGATTTCAGCTCCTTGGGCCTCTTGCCTAATTTCTTGGCTTTCTCCAGCTTCAGTGAATTTCCTGAAGTAGGCAGCAGTGATTGGCCCATGGCTGGGGCACTTGCTGTAGGAGACATGGAGTGCAGTGAGGATATGGATCTAGAGGTCGACAGGTAAGGAATCTCTTGGCAGCTTGCACATCCACCACTCTAACAGCTTTGCTCCATCATTCTGCCTGAAGACAATCAGTACAGTTTCCTTGCCTGCTTTGTAAACACTTGACAGTGGGTCGCCGATCAGCTATGTTGCCCTCACCAAAACAAAGCAGGCATGAGTGCCCATCAGTAGGCAGCAATTTAGGGTTGCACCTCACATATTTACAGGAAAGAACCTTCAGTGCCCTCAGAAAGGAGACAAGGCAATTTTAGAGAAAGGAGTAGGAAAGATTTAAAAAAATGTGACTAGAATCAGGAAAAACAGATTTTAATTCTTTGTGGGAAGGATTAAGAAGAAATGGAAGTACACAGATGAGGAGGGAAAATGGGTTTATACTGTACAAAGAATGGCAAAGTGGTTATGAAGAGATAAAAGGGAGCAAAAAATCCCACAAGGACAGAAAGAACTTCCCAAGGCAGAGACCCAGGTTGAAGAATGGGCAGGAACTCCTCCCTCATGGTGGATGCCGGGGTGGGGGAGGGGCTCCCACCAAAATGCTCCCAGCCAGAAAAGCTTCCCTGGGACAGGATCCCTGAAGGCACAGAGCCCATATGTGTGATGCACAGCAGCTATGAAACAAAACTATGTGAGAATGGAGGCAATCACCAATTCTTATTTTAAAAAATGAATTGTCAGTTCTCATTCCACTCTTCAACAGTTTATTTATTATATTGATATCCCACCTTTTTCTCTTTCAATGAACTCAAGGCAGTTTTCATAATTCTGCTCCCTTCAGTCTTATCCTTAGGTGATGTTTTTGTTTTGTCCCGTTGAATAAAGAGTAACCACTACAAATGACATCTAATAAAGTTTAAATCGAACAGCAAATGTTCAGTACTTTCCAATGTTTGGATATGCAGGAACTAAGTGACATTCTGCAGTTATATTAATTTAAATTAGGACTGTGCAACATCAGTAACTGATAAGATTATGTTCACAGAACATAGCAAGTAATATTTATGGTTAGTACCCACAGCTGGCAACCTCCATGAAAGTTCATGCCAGAATAAATGCATTATGTCTTTAAGAAGTCACGAGACTTGTCGGTTTTGCTCAACAGGTTAAGGTGACTGTCTGAAAGTAAATAGTGTAGCATCTCTTTTGTGTCATATGTGAAAGTCTTCTGAACAGATTGAATATAGTGGGCAGGTTCATTCAAGAAGCAAGATGCCATGGCGAAATTTGACCAATTTGGATCCGCTGTGTTGTCTAAATGCAGTTCTGGAGTTCCCTCATGACAGGATTAGCTTTTCCAAAACCATGGAGAGAATCAAATGTCTGTTCTAACGTTTCCAGGCTTAACCATGGTTTCTCCGGTTATCAAGACCTGGAGCACTGAAGGAGCAGGGGAAATCAATCTCCGTGGGGTTGGAGGGGCTGGGAAGTGCCCCAGACATGCAGGTACCCCCAGGAAGGGGAAGGGGGAACATGCCTCAGGACTTCAGTAGAGGAATCAGGAGGAAGCAACTGTAGTCCATAGGCCAAAAAAATGGGCAGAAGAGATTAGGGTTTTCTTTCTTTTTGGTGGGAGGTACATGAATCTGGGGCAAGGCCAGGAGGACAAAGCAGGGAGAGTGGAAACTGCTGCCCAGGTAACCACGTGAGCACTTGACTGGTAAAATTTGGGGCAAAAATCTGCACATTGTGGAAACAGCACAGAGTTTTTTGTCACATTGTTTCAACCTAATCAGTGTGTCTAGGCCAACCAGTCTTTGAGTCAACAGAGGAGACCTTTGTTGTTGCATCCCTGGAGTTTTTAGATAAAAGCAATTATGCAATACATGAACTTGACTTCATATTGTAAATATCCAAATAGCTTTTGGTTGTGTGAATTTGAACCACACCATTCAGTCCAGAGATTTAAGAGACTATTAAGCCACTGGTTGCGAGAGAGAGAGCGAGCGAGTGAGCGAGCAGGAAGGGGGGAACTTATTCAAATGTGCAGCAATGTTACATATTCAGGGGTAATTTTTGTGTGTGTTCTAAGCATGTACACCAATGTGGAATCACAGATTTAAGTACGTATGAACAGATGTGTTCACTCCTGCCTGGATCGATTTTCCAGTGTCAATTTGATGCCTGCAGTTGGGATTCGACAAGCATAACTTACTTGCTACATAATTTCTTAAACAGTAGGCTGAGAGCCTTTGCCAGGTTGCAAAGTGCCTGCATGTGGCAGCGAGTGCCGGATACCTTGAAGTGATCCTCTGCTACTGAGACACGTAGCAGCTCAGGGCTCCTAAGAGTGAGGATGCTGCAAGGAACAGGTAGATGCAACTGTTCCATTCCTGTCCTTTGGTCCATTGCACTAGAGCACAAAGCAGTAAGACCAGACTCTGCAATGTACAAAAACAAACAAGCAGATGGGGAAAGGATAACTAGTCCTCAGATGGATTAGCAAATGCATTTATGAAGCATTAAAAAATTTTATGTCTTAGAGACAGCCTTTTCCCACATTTGCCTAAAGGTGTTTTTGTCCACTGGAGAACTGCTTCTGGGTGCACTTATTTCCAGAAGTCTGAGGGTGGATTGTGTCTGGATAGAGGCTTTTTCCTGTTGCGCACAAACATTAAAATTTCATTTCCAGGGAGGTTAAGCTTTCGCCCACTTTGCTATTAGTTCAGAACAGGCAAAGGCCTCTTCGGACACCAGTAATGCAATCTGAACTTGCATTTATTTTTTATTCTAACTTGCATTTATTTTTTATTCTAACTTGCATTTATTTTTTATTCTGCTGCTGTTTCATTATATGTTTAAAATTTGCTGAAAGCATTGCTTAAGTGAAGGACAGATATGTTCCTAAACCTCTACATTTCCTCAATCTTTCTTCAGAAAGATATTTATAGTTTTTATAAATTGTTCAATTAGCAAAAGCTCTCAACATGAAGAAAAACAAATATTAAATATACTTACTGTTGCCCATGAAGATTTTTCTCATGATGCAAAAACTAAATATAAAACTACTTATTATTAAATTTGTTTAAAGGCTGCCCATTAGTATCATGCCAAAACTAGGAATGTGTTTTATCAGTGTTTACTGCCAAGCAGTTCAAATATGACCATGAAAAATAATATGGCTTGAAATGTGAAAAGCTGGATTTTTTCCCATGCATCTGTGGACTGGTTTCCCATTATTTTGGTGTTTAATGTCCAGAGCATGCAGGTGCTCAATGGGTGTATTTCAGAGAAACAGCAATTAAGAGACGGGTGGGAAATGTATTGAAATGTGTGGCAATCCAAAGACTGGCCTATATTCTAAAATTGCAGGAAATGTACACTAATTGTTCTTGTAACTGCATGAAGACATTAGTAATTTGGAAACAGAATAACTTAATGTACTTTTTTCTTTCCTTTTTGTTTTGGGTCGAAGAGATAATGCAAGTGCAATTCCCAGAAGAGTTTGAATTTTTCACATAACACCAACCAAGACGTAAACCTCTTTTAACTGCATTCAAGCATCTAAGATGGGTAACAGATTGAAGAGGTAATGTGTTGATATTTCATTTTCTTTAATGTGCTGTATTGGCAATTGAGAAAATTAAGGAGTACAGTCCGAGGGAAACCTATCTGTATTTACAAAAAATATTTTAAAATGTGCAGTTTAAAATGACTTGAAAGGCTGGAGTGAGCTATTTCTGGGAGTGGTGGGGGGAATGGGGGTGGAGAAAGAGGACTACATATTGCAGCACTTATAAGAGGTGTTAAGAAATATTAGTTTTATTTTAACCAGTTCACAGCTGAATATTTATTCTATAAAAACTTTACAGATTGTACAGTTTATATATAGTTCAAACTACTAGAACAACAAAAAGTAGGTCCCACAGATGCAAAAATACTGTACCAATCCAAGGTAAAAGCAGATTTTCACACTGTACATCTTTCCACTAGGATGAGGTGGTCAGGCTCCAAGTATAAAGTTCCAAACTGTACAAAAATAAGGTTTGATTTTCCCCTCATTCTTCATACATTCAGTAAGATTGCAAGGATAGATATCTAAGTGCATTAGATAACTGGAGTCAGAAATCATCACACACTCCTGAAAGGAATGCAAAATAGACCTATTTACACAGGGCACTCTTGTACACTATGATATATATAGTGGATATATATATATATATATATATATATTATGCACACTGATCCAGAAATGGCAGCCTACCCTTCTGGATGCAGTCCCAAGTGCACAAAAGGACACTGTGTGTGTGTGTGTGTGTGTGTGTGTGGGGGGGGG